GACGTCGGGGGGAAGGGGTGGACTATTTTGAGGGGAGAAATCACTTTGTATTTGAAGAAGAGGTGAAAAAGGAGGAAGAAACACAGATGGTCTGACTCCCCCAGTGGCCTCCTTTCCTTCTGGCAATGACAGTAGCTGTCACCTGATTTTGAAGCTGCCTCCAGGAAAGGCAGCGAAAGGGATATAAAACCAGATGTAGCAGAGTCGGGGGGAAGGGGTGGACTATTTTGAGGGGAGAAATCACTTTGTATTTGAAGAAGAGGTGAAAAAGGAGGAAGAAACACAGATGGTCTGACTCCCCCAGTGGCCTCCTTTCCTTCTGGCAATGACAGTAGCTGTCACCTGATTTTGAAGCTGCCTCCAGGAAAGGCAGCGAAAGGGATATAAAACCAGATGTAGCAGACGGAGGTAAGAGACAGCGCGTTTCAGTCCTTTGGTCTGTGTCGAGTGAACAATGCACGTGGCCCGTGGAGACAAGAAGACGGGCCAACAAACGAGTCAGAGATTCCAAGACCAGAAGTAACTACGGTGATCATCTAGTCTGACCACCTGTGGGACACAAGCCAGCGAATGTCCTCACAATAATTCCTGGAGCCGATCTGTTAAAAACAATCCAATCTTGATTCAAAAATCGTCTGTGATGGAGCCTCCACCAGAATCATTGTTCTAATGGTTAATTACTCTCACTGTTAAAAATATACACCTTAGTTCCAGCCTGACTGTGCCTCATTCCATCTGCCAACCACCAGATCATTTTCTAACCTTCTTTGCTAGCTTGAAGAGCCCGTTAGTCAATGTTTGTTACCCTTGTAGGTGCTTACATATTGTAATTAAGTTGCCCCTTAATCGTCCCTTTTTAAGCTAATTAGACTGAGCTCTAGGCCATGTCTACACTACACTATACAGAAGATCAACGCTGCTGTAGTCATTCTTCCAGGGTTTGATTTAGCGGGTCTAGTGAAGACCTACTAAATCAAACTCAGAGGGCACCCCCCCTCCTTGGTGCTGGTACTCTTGTTCCTCATGAGTAAGGGAATCAGACAGGAGTGTTTGCTCCCATCGACTTCCTGCTATGTGGATGGCAATTTACGATACATCAACTCCAGCTATGTAATTAACATAGCTGGAGTTGAGTATCTGAAGTCAACCTTATGCTCTAGTGTAGACCAGGCCTATGAGTCTATCACCAGAAGGCAAGTTTTCCAATACTTTATTCACTCTTGTGAACCCTCTCCAATTTATCAACATCCGTCTGGAATTATGGGCACCAGAACAGGTATTTGAGAACCAGGGCATCTTCCATCCATCTGCCCTGTCTCCTGCTCACGGCAGCCAAGCTGGTGGCCTACAGGGCCCACTAGAAGGGAGGCAGCATCTGCTTTGCGCTCCCACCCCCTTTCTACCCCAGGAGGCACGGCCCCCCTGGGTTTACATTGCCTGAAGCTGCCACTTCTGGGTTGACCCAACGCTTTTAAGAAAAACAGTAACGTCTCAAAAGGGAAGATGCAGGTTTTACGGCAGGGGCAGGGGGCAACCTGGGAACCTTCCTAATGAACTGAATCAAACCCCTGCTGTATTTTGGAGCTAACGAGCGGGCCCCTGGGGTGTGAAATGGCAGAACTAGAGGCATTTCTGAGAGAAAGTAAAAAGCCACCAAAGGGAAGGAAACAAAGACGCTCTGTCGCTTCCAAGGGGAGGGAAAGAAAGGCCAGAGACCAACGATGAAGTTACAAGGCTGTCTCTACCTCTAAGATTGTCTTCCTGAGCGGGGGCTCATTAACAGTTGGCTGACTTTGGACCCGTTTGGCGGAGGCATGACCGATACCTTGCCGATCACTGACCTGGAGGTTTTCTCCAGTCATGACAACAGGTGGGGCTCTAGCTGATACCTGGGGGAACAAGCGCTCAGCGCACTCCCAGCTTTGGTGACTGGCACGGGATGAAATCGGGATGCTGGGTGTTTGTTGCCTTCGACACGCTCCGGGTTGGCCCCCTTTGCAGCTGTGGGAAGAGTGAGTGTGTTCCAAGAACCAGCCCCCACGTTCATTAGCTCTCCCTTCGGCAGGCTGCTCCCCATGGCTGCCGCTGCACAGCGAACCTTGAGGTTTGCTCAGTTAGAGGAAGGAGGCAGCATGGCCCAGTGGGTAGGACGCTACTCTAGAACTTGGTCCCAAGTCCCTTCTTTGCCACCAACTACCCCGTGCGACCTAGGCAAGCCACTTAGTCTTTGGTGCCTCAGTTTCCCCCTTTGCGAAGTGAGGATAATCGTCATGCTGTGCAGTAGGACTGGGTGGAGAAACACAGTAAAGATTGTGAAGTGCCTTAAGACCAAGTGAAGTAAACAACAACGTGAGAGCAAGGAACAATCAGAATGGAATCCATTAAGTTCTGCGTTAGAATGAGGGCAAAGCCGACTCGCTAGAGTGGCCCGATTTATTCCACCTCTGCGTTGTGGTGTTTCTGTGAATGTCTGCCACGGTGGCACGCATGCCCGGCTAGTCACAGTTGTCAGGTCAGAGAAGGGATTCGCATTTCTCTAAGGGGCAAAACTCTACTAATGCATCGTCTGTTTGCCTGCTGCCCCTCTTTCTGATCCAACGTGGCCTCCTTTACCTTCCATTGCTACAGCCAGAAAAATCTCTCTATTTTCCTCTCCAAAGACCGAGCCCTGGCTCAGTGGAGCATGGTACAGAGGAAGCGCTCATAACCCAGGTTTTCTTTTGGCTCCATTGCAGAGATTTGCTTTAAAGCGTTGCTGCCTTTCTTCTATTTCCTGGGACTCCCTCTCCGCCTGTAACCTCTGCCCAGTGCATTCCCAGGGGAACTCCTCAACTGCAGGGGTAGAAATGCCGCCACTGGGGATGCAAAATTCCAACAAGGCGCCACTGAGTTATGCCGAAATCATATTCCAAAGTTTACCTTAGTTCCTTGAAGGGGTCTGCCCTGACACTGGGAGTTTCTATAGATTTAGGGAACACTGTGCCTTCTGCTCCTGAAATAACAAAACAGAACACAAGTTGGAGACGTTACACACGGTACGCAGGGGAAATCATGCATGGCACAACATACAGGCAATCCGACCCCCCTGCATGCCCCCGCGCCATCCTCGCCAGCGGCCGGGTTCCGAAGGCTGAGCCGAATTCTCAAAACCAGCTGCCTCGTCTGCACCCAGAACTGGGACGCCCAAGGACCTTGCTTCTGTTCTGAGGCTGGAAGAGAGGCAGGCAGCCAGCTTGGAAAATACGCCCTTGCATTATGCATAAACCTTTCCCATGCAGACGTGTACATCATTGGCTAAGACAGAGGCGGACCTTGAAACAATTTATACTGGAAGGTTTGCTTGCGGAGATGGGCTGAAAGGAGGGAACACAATCCTCGGTTAAGACGGCTGCCTCCAAAGGTTCACGGTGACTTGCATGCTGGAGGGTAAGGTGGTGCTCTCAAGTGAATGAACAACGGGACAAAATGGCAGGCGCCCTGGGGTCTAGTTCTAGCTTTGCTGCTGATTTTGCGGCGTCACCCTGAACGAGTCATTTGCGCCCTTGCTCTCTCTCCGTTTCACACGTCCCATCTGTACGTGTGAGGGATGAGAAGTGGGGATGAGAAGGACGTACTTACCCTTTTCAGCTCTCCTGATGGAAAGTACCAACTATGGAATGCCAATTTAGACGTATTAAGACCAGAAGGGGCCCTTCTGATAAATTAGAATGAGCTTCTCTAGTAATATCGGCCACAGAATTTCATTTGGGATTCCTGCAAATTAGTAAAGGCCCTCTAAACTGAATGCTGAGGGCTCCCCCGGTTGGCGCTGGTGCTCCTCGCTATCGTGAGGAGTAAAGGAAGATGGTGCCAAGCTCAGATTACATAAGCCAACTCCAACTATGTTATTTATATGGTTGGAGTTGCGAACCTCAAGCCGACCTTCTGGGTAGTAGAGACCTGTCCTTAGTTGGGTCCTTGTGCCAGCTGGAGGGGCACTGGCTGGAGGCTCCAACTGACAAAAAGGACCCTAGGTGAGCCCCACCTGATGTCCCAACTCCTGGAACTGCCTAGCGTGAGCGGGAAAGGAGCAGCGCTTAGAGCAGAGAGTAGGGGAAGCTCTAGGGTGGACGGCTTCCCAGGGAGGCCTGAGGGCATGCAAGGTAAGGCTTGAAGCCTGGAACCTTGGGAAGGAGCAATAAAGGGGGGGGGTAGTTCCTGCTAACGAGTCAAAATCTACTAATTATCTAACCAGGCAGTATGCTAGTAATAACCACTGGCACTCCGTGCCACCTCTTGTGGCCTCTGTTGGTAGGACGAGGCGGCAAGAGGGCACAAGTATGGACAAATGTACGCCGCTGCTGAAGAAGTGCATGCGCATGTACGGCACAGGGACCAGCACTCCGAGAAGAATTTCAAGGTTCCCATCCCGATTTCTCCGCAGAAAATGTAACAAGAAAATGCTCCTCATATTTTAAACAATTCACAGTGAGAAAAAAAATCCACTGACTTCAACAGAGTTGCATTTGGTTTGCACCAATGTATCCCACTCGTTATGGGTACGTCTACACTGCAGCTCAAAAGTTGAATTAAGCGATGCAACGTCAGCTATGTCAAGTGTGTAGCTGACATCGAAATAGCTGAATTTGGCTTTTGGTGCTGTCTACACAGTAGGATGTTGAAGGAAGAACACTCTTCCTTCAACATCCCTTACTCCTCGTGAAATGAGGGTTACTGGAGTTGGAGTAAGAAGTCTTCCAGCTCGACATTATTTTGAAATAACGGCTTGCTGTGTAGACGTGCATTATGTTATTCGGAAATAAGACTGCGGTGTAGACATATCCTGTGTTAAGGAAAATGAGAATTAAAACAAGTTTTCTAATACTTATACGAGAATGACAAACTCCTGCTTTTTAAAATGCTGGAATGCAGAGACGATAAAGAACAGTCTAAAGTTTGAAGCTTTGAGGAGTCAAGTTGCACTCATGACCCAAAATAGATATTTACCTCTTGATTTCACTATAAGCCTGTATTAGTACAAGTTGTCAAAAGCATCTATACTGGCATGTGCCTTTGCGCAAAAGCATCAGTGCCAGTGTAGACGCTCTCTTGCGCAAGAAAGCTCCAATGGCCATTTTAGCCATCGGGCTTTCTTGTGCAAGAAATTAATGTTGCTGTCCACACTGGCCCTCTTGCGCAAGAGGACTTATCCTTGAGCGGGAGCATCAGAGTATTTGCACAAGAACCACTGATTTTGTACATTACAAAGTCAGTGTTCTTGCGCAAATAATTGCGGCCAGTGTAGACAGGTGGCAAGATTTTGCACAAAAGCGGCCGCTTTTGCACAAAATCTTGCCAATGTAGACACAGCTGTCGAAGCAAAAACATGCTTCTTTCTGTTTAGGCGGCTAACAACTGATTGCTTTATTGATTAGTAAAGCAAAGTGAGCCAAACGTGGTCCCAGCAAAGTTGGGCCCAGTAAAGCTGCTTAATACAATTAATGTTAGTATTTTTATACCCTTAACCAAACAGTCTGACATTAGGGCATTTAATTACAGAAATAATTAATTAAACTAGGAAAAACAAAGCCTTATTAACAAGATGGCGGACAGGTACGAGGGAGTACCTCTCCTTTTTGAACCAGCCCAATTAACACATTTTAATAGCACATTTGTTTTGGCCTGGCGCATGGGGTGATAGAAAGTTTACTCTGGCCTACGTGCAAAGACAAAAAGCTGAAATGGTTTCTGTTATACAAGATGGCTTTTAGCTAAACATAAAGTAGCTTCTACACAGCCTGACTGTTCTTTACATTTGCAATTTTCAGTAGGGTTTTTAAAAGTAACAAATAAACAACACTAGTCAAAGGCCAGTGATGACTTGGGAGCAGTGACTAAAGTGGAGGAGTTTAGGAGGGGTTAATTATTTAAATCTGGAAGAGGGAAGCAATTTTTAAAACCCAGGTGGTGAAGTTTCCAATTCATGGAGTTTGGGGAAAGGCTCAATCCAAGATCATCTGTGATACTTGAGGCAGACGGTCTTTTAGAAAATCAGCCAGCTCCTTGTCTGTTTTCTTGATATTCATTGCTATGATACATGTAAACCCTACTTTCCCTCAATCAGTGATAAAGACATTTATATAGTGGGTACCGGGACAAGCAAACCAACCCACTTCACACACCAGTTCTCTTTCATTAGTTCCTGACCTAAGCTAACCAAAGCTAGATGGGAAGAGATGGTGGAAAATCCTGTATCTTGTGACTGGTCTCTAGAACTCTGGGGCTACGTCTAGACTGGCATGATTTTCCGGAAATGCTTTTAACGGAAAAGCTTTCCGTTAAAAGCATTTTTGGAACAGAACGTCTAGATTAGCACAGATGCTTTTCCGCAAAAGCACTTTTTGCAGAAAAGCGTCCGTGCCAATCTAGACGCACTTTTCCACAAAAAAGCCCCGATCGCCATTTTCGCAATCGGGGCTTTTTTTGCGGAAAACAAATCTGAGCTGTCTACACTGGCCCTTTTGCGCAAAAGCTTTGTGCAAAAGGACTTTTGCCCGAACGGGAGCAGCATAATATTTCCTCAAAAAGCACTGATTTCTTACAGTAGGAAGTCAGTGCTTTTGCAGAAATTCAAGCGGCCAGTGTAGACAGCTGGCAAGTTTTTCCGGAAAAGCGGCTGATTTTTCGGAAAAACTGGCCAGTCTAGACACAGCCTGGCAGTTCCTGCTACTCTAGCCTGAGTCACAGACAAGCTCACAGGAAAGCAAGCAACCTGTGAACAGAGATGGCCTAGAACAGTTAGTCAAAATGTGAGTAATATTTATAAGTTTTCACCCAGCCAGAACCCGTGCGTTTCCCTTTGCTTCTGTTCCATAACAAGCTCAGTTATGAATATGTGATTGGCATTTAGTTACACATTGAAAAGAAAAACACCCAAAACGCATATTGCACAAAGTTCTATTCCAAACATTTTGTCTTCCTACTGCGAGAGTCTCATTCCTGATTGCTCCTCCTGCAACGTATCCTAGTAACACGCCAATGTTAGATACACGTAGCCTGACGAACATGCCTGTAAAACGCTGGACAGTTAGCAACAGAATTCCAGCACAGCTCGAATCCAGTCACACTAGCTCTGCAAACAGCTCCGTTCCTGTTTTCATTTTGCTTAACTTGAAGAAAGCAAATCTCGCATCCATTGCCTCTCACCCCAATTGGGGATATCTTACCCCTCCCCTACATTTATAGAACATAAAGTGAAATTTACCACTAACTATTTTGCTCCTGATGTTAGTAAAACAGTTCAAATCCATTCTGATTGATTGATGACATCAAATGCTGTTTTATTTTAAAGCATTGAAAGTATTTTTTTTATCTGATAAGTCTATGTAACAAAGAACATCCTCATTTGTCTGCAAACAGCCAGATGAAGTTAAGCAGACAATAATCATATCATTTGTATCCACGGGTACTGTACATCCCTAGATAATAAATTATTCCATGATGACAATGATTATTATTATTTCAGAAAGATGTCTATTAAAATCCATACCTACCAATTCTCTCTTTTGACACTCTGTAATTTACCAGCAATAAATGTTGATAAACAGTTTGAGTGAAAAATCTATGAACCCATTTCAGATTTATTTTAAGTTCCATTTAATCTCTCTCAAAAATGATTTCATCAATGCATTTCCATTAGCTGGTTCTCTGTCCAATAACTTAATTCCACATGATCAATCAGGTGCTTACATAGCGTGCGACAGGATCTAGCTAAAGTGGTTGAAATCACCGTGAAGATCCACCAAAGAGTTGTTTTTTCTCTAGACTGGCAGATGGTGGTAGGGTAAAACATGGCAGCATATTTTGCATGTTTTGAGTTGCATGAAGTTTGTTCAACTTCAGGCATTTTTCTTCCATTTGAGACTGTATTCTATGGGGGCGATGCCCACTCTGTACCAAGGGAAGATCTCCTGATAGTAGGTTCTGTCGGCCATCTTGTTACATCTACTGCCA